ATACTTAGCAGAGAAAACAACCAGCCGACTCCTCAGAGTGTCTTATAGTTAGTAGTGTGCGCAGTTAGTCTAACAATGAATTTAACGATGCTACTTTTGCTAGACATCTGTAAACTTATTATTAAAATTATTATTTTGTGCAATCACGTTCATCCATAAAAATGCTGCTGTAATAATCAGGCACTTTTACTAAAGAATATTGTTTTAAAGAAATATTATCATCTTATATCATCATATTATTTTCGGACGATATTTAACCTTATAATTTTGCTCAATTTTGACTGCTAGTCAACTAGTCTAGGTTAAAACTTTTTCTTTAAAGGTCAGAAAATTAGCCATTGGGAACATCGCTACATTTTCAGGCCACTAAAATGCTACAAATATCTTTGATAAAGTGAAAACACAATTTGAAAAGGTCAAACTTCTAACACCAAACACGAAAAAATCCCAAAACACAACTTCACAGCTATTTAAATGTACACTGTGCCATGGATAGGCATTGCTACACCTGTATCCTGATTGACAGGTCGCTGTGGTAGCCACGCCCTTTAGCATACTCTGCTTTATCGTCTATTTTACTCTAAATGGGACCATAATTTATAAATGAACATCATGCTGTATGGACGAGGACTTGAAACTGGCAATGGAGACCATCAACTCATTATGAAAATGTTTACTGAGGTTAAAATCAAGTGAGAATTCGGGTCATTTTTTCATTAACTTATGTACAATTAGGCTTCCCTTCTGTAATCAGTGGAGTCGCCCCCTGCTGGCATTAAGAAGAATGCAGGTTTAAGGCATTTCTCAGACCTGGACACTACGTTCACTTCTTTTTATACAGTTTATTTTTCTCTAGACTGTTTCTCCTTTAAGCCTCACAAAATGTCACAGTGAAGACTAACAGAGTGAGTGCTCCTAATGAGCTCATTACTACCTGCGCTAATGTTTTCACAACTGCTTCTGTATCAAAAAGGAAACTTGTGTGTGTGTTTGCAAAGCTGTTCCCTGTATTACTGTTCCATGTGAATCAAACAGTGACTCACGGGCTAATTTTAGCCACTTTGCTACTCTCACCTATAAATGCCACATCGTCAAGTGACTCTTGTTGTGACAGAGACGCTCGCAGCAGGCGATACAGGACCACTTATGGCATAAATGATCATATGCTTTTGTTTAGTAGACGGTGCTTTGAAGCTGAATATCAGCATATGACTCTGGGAGCCTCCCCAGTGCAACACAGAGCAGACACACATCACTACAATATGTGATACATAACAGGGACAAACTGGAGCAGGAGGAGGCTGAGGTGGAGGGAGGAATCAATTAGCAATGAGCAGCAGGTCATTATGAGTGAGTGAGAGCTTGTTAGATCCTAAAGATCACCACGCTGTCTTTGTGAATGTGATTACTGTTGTGTAGTATGTGTGACGCCAGCGCTCGGCAAGGACTATTGTGATGCTTCATGCATGTATTATAAAGAACATGTATCTAAATTAGTGTATAAATTAGACAACAGTGGATTTGATTGTTTCATGAGAAGATAATATCTTGTAGGATTCATGTCAAGAGTTCCTCTTGAGTCGTTACACAATCTGTTACACACAAAGTCGTCATTTGATCCATTTTTCTTTGACCAAACTGAGATATTCATATTGTGTCATGTGTGTATTAACTGTATCTGCCTATATTAAAAAATAGTGCTGTCTCTATTCATTTGGTCCATTTTTCTACAGTTACATGTTTTTTCTGTTGAAGATGTGACTCATTAGCTAAACAAGCAGAAACCCAGTGGTGTAGTGATAGCTGATGAGATGGGGGTGCTACTGGAGAGATGGGGAGGTTACTGAGGAGGAAGAGGGTAAACTCTTCCATGTATTACAAAGGCTTTTTTGCTGACAGGTCGGTGTACCGTATACAGCCAAAAACAAAGGGTGGTTATACCTGTATACTTGCATATACCCTCCACTACACCACTTCCTGTAATGCTGAAAAGATACAGTATCTGGCCTTGTACACTCAGACTAGAATTAAAGAAATTTTGAACACTAACTCATTGTTTAAGCTCTCAGTAGCTGTATTTGTCAGGACAGAGGTTTTATTTTGTCGCTATTTTGATGCTAAAACTTGTCTTAGTATTTGCTGGCAAAAAGAAAGTAGTTTACAATATAAAAGAAAAGTAATCTAAAATAAATGTAATTAGACAAATTACGTATGGCTTTCAAACAGCGAGCATCAAACAGAATCTATCCAACATGTTAGCCCAAGGCTAAAACTGGATATGCTAATTAGGTGTGAAAAGCTAACTGTCCTGTCCAACTTCCTTCCGATATAAGTCTTCAAACAACACGCTGAAAAAATAGCATTATGGATTTTAACTTTGTGGTTCAGATTCTCTCGTGACAAAAAGAAAAGGAAAAAGACATCAAGCCGCCTTTGCAATATATTAGCTTTTATCACAGCAAACATTTTGACTTGTTCTAGTAGGGGAAGCAGGTGTTACTATTTAAATTAAAGGAATAGTTCACTTAAAAACAATATCAATTGTATATAGTACTTACCTCTCTGGGCTCTCTATGGTTGCAGATAGGTGGTATCTAATTTTTCATACCTTTATACCTTCCTAGAATTTCACTGGAGTACATGATACATGATGGTATTCAGGGTCCAAAACTAACACTCGCCACTCGCCAATTACGGGTAGATTTTGTCACTGGCTGGTAAATTTTTAAGACCACTCGCCACTCTGGCGAGTTATTTTTTTACCAGCGAAAAATGCATTTGTTGTTGAACTGTAGAACGCTGCTGGTATCGGCTGGTTTCCTGGCAGAGTAATGTGTGTTTCAGGCAGAGACGATCTTTGGTCACGTAACGGCAGGGCCACACCGCCCGCGGAAGTGCTGTGAATAGCCTTGGAGAGCCCAGAAGCGAAGCCAGTTTCCTTTCGGTGCCCATGTTAACCGATTGTGTCATCCACACCAGCCGCGGCACTGCCCTGTAGTGATCGTTTCGGCGTCTGGTCTATTTTCTGCGCGAGCCGCGAGCAAATGTGTCAAGCCGGGCAGTTACCCATGTTGGAAAAACAGCCCCAGATGTGACCAAGACAACAGCTGGGAGCAGAACCGCTTGTCGACCGACGTGGAGAAATGTGCGTCTGATGTGAACGGGCTCGCGTGAGAATTTCGGTGAGCTGCGATCGCTGCCGATCGTACCCGAACAGCCGAGCACACAGGTAGGCTATGTGTTGTGTCAGAGGAAAAACGAGCCGTTCACATTTCTGTCTTTGTGGCAGGTAACCATCCACAAACCTCACCGCACTTTAGGGACTGTTCTTTACTTATGAAGGGACTGTTCTTTACTTGTATGTTAATCAGTTGGTGCAGTTTCACTTAAGTAAAAAAAATGACTGAACAACTTTCACTTGTATTGGAGTAATATTTGACCAAGAGTATCTTTACTTTCATTCAAGTCATGTTGTTGAATACTTTGTCCACCACTGGTCAGACATTCATGTTTATATAGGGCAGGCCCTGCTGTTGCAGTCTGGTCGAGCTAAAATCTTATGTCTCAACTGTCCAAAGGGGACTGAAGTCAGTGATTCATGTAAAATTCCTTAATGAATGATTCTTTTTGCACTGTAGTAAGAATACTACAGAATTTATTAACCCAAATATAACACTTAACTGTTGAAACAGTTATTCATATTTTAGCATACATTATTACTAATATTAGTGCACACTATTAAAATATTGATTGAGAATCGCATACAAGACCCAAATGACATGCTAAGTAATACTGATAGCAAATTACAACACTTAAAAGCAATTTTTATTTGGTTGGCTGGTAAAATATCAGCCTGGCTGGTAAAAAATTTCACTTACCAGCCAGGCTGAATCATCGGAAAAACGGGATGTTGTATAGAAATAGTTAAGCAAAAACAGTTTTGTTTGGATTTCCTTGAGCGTATGTGTAGATGCAAGACACTGGAAATGCTGCACAGGAATTTCAGGTGTTAGATAACCGCTGTCTTTCATTTGGCCGTTAAAGTCCACTGGCACTGGTATGCTTTCATTTTCCCATGTTTTTGTGTCACAGTGACTAATGGAAACAAAAAATTTTGAAAGTAGTCCAGTTTTGAGAGAGACGGCTATGCCAAGCAGCCCGATTCTGACTGCAATGTACACACTGTTATGTACATCATCACTTGTTTTTGCCACTGACAGGCTCAGATTATTATGGAGAGGAGCCCTACAGAGACACAAAATGTTTATCTTTACCCTTCTCTTGATCAGGTCTGTTTGCTTTTCTACAACAACTCAACTCACATGATTTCAGACCAGACCAGATCAAGCGAAAGGTAAAGGAAAACTTTATTTATTCATCAGACACTTAAAATAACAGTCTGAACCTGTCAGTGGCAAAAACAAGCACTTTAATTGGATGTACATTGACGGTGTGATATTGCCATGAGTAGCAGTCTGTTTCACCACTGCTGACTGCCGCACTCTTGCTCATGGAGCAATTTCAGAAAATTGAGATAAGATAATCCTTTTTTTACTCTCATAGTGGGTAAATTCACAGCAACAGCAGCAAAGTGAATAGAACAAAAAAGGAAGCATGAGTACAAACAAAAATATACAATAAACAAGACACAAATTGTTCCTATTAGTCACTTAGACCAGAAAAACATGGGAAAACAGGGACCAGGTTGAAAAATACCAAAGTTCCCCTTTAACGCCACAAGTCAGAAAACTTTTCTAGGACCACAGACAGCAGAGGGAGGTGAGGGCTATATGCAATTCATACCATGTGTGGGTGAACTATTCCTTTAACACTGTCTCAGTAAACCATGACAGTGTGACACAATACCAGGCTTCCTAAAACCAAAGCAGCTAAATGGAATCCAACAATCACTAATTCTATTACTTACACCGAAAATGTTTTCTGTGAAAAAGGCTAATGCCAACCAATTGTGTGTGTGTGTGTGACATGATCTCTCTTACCAAAATATTCCTCAGATGGTGGGTGGTCCATGTCAAACAGCATCTTCTTGGTCAGGCGCTCCAGCTCGTCCTCAGGGTGGGCCATGGGTGCACCGCCCTGAGAACAGGGGAAAAGAACATAGTTGTGATTCACAAAGCCGAGCGAGGCAATGAAGAGCATTTTCAGCGGTTTCTTGTATTTATTTCCACCTCACTGATGAATGTCACCTGTGCTCTACGCCTTACAAATGCTGCTTAAAATGCAAAGTAAAAAGTGCCAGGATACATTACTTAACAAAATACGTCCAGATTCAACTTAAAGATTCACAAAAACCTGACTTCAATAAATCAGAATGAAGCACTCTCTCAAGGTCAAACAAAACACATTCACTGTAATTAAAATGCAGTGGACGATCTTCAGTCTGCCTTCCCCCTCTGAGATATCTGACCCTGGCTCAGGCCCCAGTGGTGTGCAGCCCAGAAGGTTGTGCATATCCTTCTGTGCAATACAAGCATGTGGAAAAAACTGTGACCCTGACTAATCCTTTTATTTTGGAAAAATAATGATAACAGAAGGAAAAGGGGAGGCAAACATTAGAGGGAAGCTACTTTTTAAGTCTTGTACATTTGGGTGATAGGTCAGGAGATAGTTATTTTTTCGTACTCTGAGCACAAAAGACTTTAGGTGTGAGCTGTGTTGAGGCCTAATCTGTGAGAGATTTCAGAAGGATGACATAACTCTCTGAAGATGCCACTTCCTTCCTTTCCTTGTGAGCCTGGCCTCCCTCTTATCATGCAGTCTCTGACATCTGCCTGCTGTGTGTCTGTATGGGGCTGACGTGTCGTGCCTGACATTTTCTGCCAATCATCCGAGGAGCCGCAGAATACATCTACCCCCCCTCATCCCCCAGCTCCCAGCCCCAGCTCACAGCGCAATCCCGTCACAGGTGTGTGTCCTTTGCAGACACCCTGGAGGCCTGAACTTGACTCCTTTCGTGCTGCGCGGCTGAGCTTTTTCAGAAATCAGTGACACTCGGATGACCTTCCCTAGATCTGGGGCCGGCTGGATCTTTACAGTAGATTTGATTTTCAATATTGTAATGCGGGGCGAGATCTGAGCTGACCTTTGAGGTGTTCCTAATTGTGACGTCTGGGAGCTGGGAGGATGTTAGCGACCGGTCTGGTTTTGTACTTATTTATCCGTGGTTTACTGTGTCACATAAAGGAATCAGATTTGTCAATAGGAGATTGAGTGAAGAAATGTTTTTGTATTCAGAATGAAAGAGTAATTACAGATCGAGTCTTCTGGTATTATTGATGACTAAATTTGTATGCACGTAATTTTCATTAATTCGACTCATTGTATGTGTCAGTCAAGGTTTCAAGAATATTAATAAGGTAGGTGGATTTTCACCACAGTTATTATTATTCTTATACCTTTTATTTAACCAGGTAAAAGTCTCACTGAGATAAAAAAAAATCTTTTTTTTTTAGGAAGGTCTTGGCCAAGAGAGCAGCATAAACATTGTTACAACACTTAACACAAACACAACTGTAACACACCACAAATAACCAAGTACAACATCTAATTAAAATGCAAAACAAAAAACAGCATGCTATTTTCTCGATCCTTTAAAACTGACTCAAATTCCCCTCTCATGGAGAAAAAAAATGAGTCACTTAAGTATCATGATTTTTTTTAAACATTTTTTTAATGGTTTTATAGTGCCTGAGTTGATATAATTCAAATGCAGAGATGTAAAGCTGTTACCAGTTTTACTGTGGTAATCTACAAGTAAGTGAGTGACGTCAAAGCCGTTTCAAGAAAAACAAAGCCCAGGCAAGAAAGCAGAAAATGGCAGACAAATCAAAGACACAGACTCCAATTCAGCCAGCTGAGCACAAACTTTCTGTTGCTGCCTTTGCACAGATTACACCCAGCCTGCTGTGAACCACGATGCTGGGGTTTGCACTAGTGCTGCACGATTAATCTAATCGCAATCGTGATGTCAGGCTGTGCGATTACATAACCGCATAAAAGGCTGCGATTTGCGATTTAATGTAAATAAATGTTAACGTGTGTGCCTGTAAACGTGACTGCCTCTCCTGTAGTGTGTGGAGTTTGTTGACATCACGCCAACAAGCTATCCTGGTGTGTGCAGCCGGCGTGTAGCAGTGACCAACACAGATGCTGAAGAAGAGCATGAGCAAGACCATGGACAGGCTGAGTTGGTGGTGAAAAAATGTCTGTTACATGGCGATACTTTCAGGTACGGCGACGGCAACGTTAAACAGAAAGACGTGCTGTGTAAGTATAAAAGTTAAAGTTGCCACGTCCTGCAGCAACACAACCAATCTATATCAGCACTCAAGACAGCACAGAGAAAAGTAGGAAGAGTGCATGCGAGAGAAAGCGAGAGACCCGTGTAACATGAAAGACAAAGAGACAACTGAAAGCCACTACTCATAAAACAACATTGAATGTGCTCAGTCTGTTGATGGTTATTAACACACTGTCCATAAAATAACTATGTCAGGTCAGGTCAGTGCCCCCCTAATATAATGGAAGGGAAACAGTGAATCAAGCAAGAAGAATAATGATACCATAATGTATTATATTGTAAGCGCAATCGCAAATCGCGATATTGTCCACTCAAATCGCAATCGCACATTTTTATAAAATCGTGCAGCACTAGTTTGCACCATGTTGAATTCAAGTTGCTACAGCCACTGCTGCGTCCGTCTCTAGAGCTTCCGTCTGCTTTTCTTCTGGCAAACAATCATCTAGCAGGGCGACGTGGAGACTACGGGATGGCTCGCTATTAAGCTACCTAATTCTCGTCTCAGAAATTATAGTTGGATTTTAAAATATGCGATGGCCCTTGGACACATCATGTGCGACGACCACTTATATCAGAAAAAAAACAAAAAAAATAAAAATCTGTGCTAAAATAGTGATATTCCATCAAAATCACTTAATTCTATGTCTCATTTAAAATTTGGCAAAAAATAATCCGTTTGCACCATCTTAGGCAGGCTTTTTTCATCTCAAGGATTTCATCTTCAACTTTTAACTTTCAAATATCAAAGGGTAGGTTTTAAAAATCTAATAACTAATTTGACTCTAACTGGAGGGAGGGCCATACATTTTCTGACAGCCGCTCTGGGAGGCTCAAGGAAAAATATTTATTCGTACAGTTCCTTAATTAAATGAAAAATACCTTTTAGGCTCTTTTAAATCAAATCCCTGGTCATATGGTAAACCTTTTCAACAATATATGCTCTTCTTCTTCCTTTAACACAAAATATGGTGTGTGCTGGAGTAAGCTAGTATCAATCAGTTCCAACCAATAATATCACAACATCAATCCATCAATCAATCTGCAACTTTTAGTTGCACAGAACTAAGATTAAGTTAGCGAGCTAGCAACAGTATGCTACATCAGTGTGTCTCTGTTGCCCCTAAATACTTTGGTTACTGGCCTGCTGGCTAGGATTTATTCACTTTGAGAGGAGTGAAACTGTGAAAGCTCCAGATTATGCACAAGGCATTTTACAATGAACCCTTTCAGCAACTAACAATACACAGATGACACAGTGGACATTGTCTCTTTTTTCCTGACAGATACTACTATCCCTTCAATGTTAAACTGTCGGGGCCTCGCTGTTATGACACGCCCACTTTTCAAAGATCAAATCAAGTCTCCTCCAACGTTATATCGCTCCTGCCTGTCCTGTTCCACTCAGAAATACATCTCGATACTCTTTCATCTGGACTTTAAGTTTCAGCTTGGAAACAAGATTTTTAATGTGTGGTTTGAATGATAAGTTCTGGTCAATGATAATACCCAAATACTTATATGGTGTGACCTTTTCAATTTCAACCAACATCCTGAGCAGTTAAGATCTTGGGAAGATTAGATGTAAGCTTTTCGCAATTTTGTAAATGTGCATCAGGTTGATGTGAAGACATGCAACGGTCTGAAGAGTTTATTTCCAGAAACAGTGAAAAACGCTGAGCTCTGATTACTGTCCACTATGTATCAAGGAGCGTCGAGGACTTTATGATGCATGACTTTAGCTTGGCCCGGCTCAGGATGCAGCAGGCCTGATAATGGAAGCCCAAACAGTAAGCCTCATTAACTCTGAGGGATCGACACGTTCGACGTGCAAATCTCTGCCATGCCGGAGCGCTCTCTGGAGAGCAGCTGGGCCGGAGCTCCTGGATTCTTTGGCACCTTGCGCCTCTTTAGCCACTCAACCATAAACGGCCAGGATCACATCATGGAGGATTAGGAGGAGATGAAAGGAACATTCCTCAGTGGTTGGATGTTCATCTATTGTCGACTCAAATTACATGGCCTTTTTTTAATAATACACAATGGTCAATGGAGGTTTGCGTGGAGGGGGTTGAATTCTAATACAACTACCTGCACAAAAGAATAGATAATAAGTCTGTACAATATTCGTGCGTCTCAAAGAAGTGCTCTTGTTGTCAACAATCTGCTCATTATGCCTGTGTTGTTACTTTGAGACAGTGAAGAGGACAATTTAACACTGTTAATCTTAGCTCCACATCAAAAGCACATTGGAGAGGGAACGAAATGCTGCTATTACCAGAAACAGACTTTTGAGTTTAAGCTTCATTTATAGCTTATCCACTCTTTGACACCCTGCAGCAATGCACTGCCAAAGAGTTTAAAGCACCTTGTTAAGGAGTCTTTTGTGACAGCACGGAATAATTTTTCACTTGAATAAGAGAAAGAAATTGCTTCCCTGCATGCTTTATGATTGCTTCGCAGTTCCTGTTCAGCTTTTCAGAGGCAACAATAGAAACCGTACAGCAGCTATACGTGCCGCAGACATTTTTTAGTTACGTCTGGCTCAGTTCAGTAAATTGTTTGCCTACGCCCTCAGGACACCCAGCCGCAGTTTCATTGAAGTTAGTACTTAAATTCAGTGGCGACTGGGTTAAAAGCTGCACCTATTCTCCACCGTTTCCCCAGTATGTCAGGGCTTATAGTCCCAGGTCATCTGCCATCTGCTTTGTAATCAGTTGTAATACCCCTGAAAGACATCCTGATGGACCATCAAATGCCATCCACTTGACAAACCCTT